CTCACACAGGACTTACTGCGGTGACAGCCATGCCCACACAAACTTCGGACACTGCTTTGCTCAAGTGCAGACGCACACTCGTCTGATAGTCAAATTCCTCCTAACTATTCTCCACTACTTCTACGCATAATACACTTTTCCTCCCATCTGGCGTCCCACTTCTCTTCCCCTGTGGTATCGGACCTGAAGATCGCAGTGGCAAGGGTTTCAGCTATTAACTTCGCCCACGGCGATAGGATAACTCGGTACTCTCAGGACGGAAACGCAGACTGCATTGGCTCTTTTTACCATGGCCTCTGTGGTTATCCCAGTGGGATGAGGCCTAGGTTGCCTCCCGTTTCTGTGGACATCCGTCCATCATGCATGGACCAGGACGTGAGTGGAAGGGGCAGATGGATTGTTTATTTTTTCAGTCACAGTTTTAGTAAAAACTAGTAAGTATTGACTGACTGAGAGCCAACACGTGCTGTAATCCAGTGCCATGTGGTAGATGAACTGGCCCAACACTGGGACTAGATCGGGGCATGGTGGTCGTTAGTAGGGATACACACCGGTAACAAATGATGCGCGCGGGAGGGTGGTGACGCTCATATGTGCAGTTTCCCGCTGCGCCAGCCATCTACACCCCTTTACCTTCGATCTTCCTGAGTATCTCTTGCTACCGAGCTCAGGTAATTTAAGAAGAGAGTGAACTGGGTGCAGCGTAAGTCCTCTGCCACTAGAAACTAGTTAACTTTCAAGTAGCGGTCTTACTGTCGCCATGCTATGGGATCCACAGTGAACATTATCGTCTAAGACGGTCTGGCGACTATAGTATGAGGTATTCAAGAACGCTGTTTTGCATTACAATTTTTCTAGATAATTTTTCGCCGGTTTTGAAGACTATCCTTTAGAGCTTGGAACTGAAAGTAATGGGTGGTATGTTCACCAGGAGCCTACGCGGATGAATCAAAAAGGCGTTAACATGCTAGGTGACGAGATGTTCAGCAGTTACATCATTGGAAGAAGGGTGGAGGCTAGCCATAATATAAGGTGGCAGGCGGTCCCAAAAGTCCGCTTGCCGAGGGCATCAGCTACACAGCAGCCAAAAACCGTTAGTAGCTCAGCAATGCCTAATGTGGCAAAATAACTGAGCACTGCGTACCACTCGTGCTATCCAAGGCCAGAAACACACTGTAACCTCGGGACAAATTTCCCGTTTGTGGCAAGAAAATCGGCATACGCTGCCAAGGGTGACCGAAGTCTAACGGTGATAATTAGCACAGTATTGGTGGTTAAGCTATTAAAGACAGTGCCCACGACCAACCATAAATTGATGGGCTGGGCGGAAATTACTCTGTTGGGCATGGACGCGTTGAAATATCATGAAGGCCTTACGACACGAGGCGAATGAACCAGGTTTTTTGCACACGTATCAACATAGTCTACGCAGATGCTGACAAGAGATGGTGAACGTCCGCAGTAGGGTCGCTACAGGACCCGAGGGACAGAAGTTCAACGAGTAGTCGCCGAAGTATCGCGATTGCCAAATTCTCAAAGGGGTTTTTCACTCCCGATCTCCAGCACACCTGGCAAGGCAAGTGAATGTTGGTGGAGTATTTTATCCCTCTGCTCTCTCTTAGACTAGGTAAATTCCAGCAGAAGCCAATATAAAATTTGTTACGGGGACGCGAACGGCGATGCACTCAGAGCCTACAGCCAAAAACGCACACCAGTCAAGTCGTTCCCGCACGCCATCGCCTTGAGCACACGTACAGGGCAAATATTCTAGAAACGTCTCCCAGGGCCGCAGCGTGGGAAACTACGAATCAGCGTGCAGGCCAGGATTGTTCCAGAACGACCAGAGCCGCATAAATACACTGAATAGGGCAAGCTTAAGGACTCTTTGTCTCTGTGTTGTCCTGACTAGAACCCTTGTCATCAGAACCGGCTCTTGGCCTTCTGCCTTTTAGACCGGAATATAACATAATTAACTACACTGTAGCAACTATCAAGTAATAAAATGGAAAGGGAAATTACGAAGCAGATAATCAAGGCTTCCACTTTTTACACTGTCAGTGTCTGACAAGCTCAACACGTTCTCAATAACCCACAAGCGAAGCTCAATTTTTGAAGAAAAGATCTCAGCTACTACTCGCGAAAGATAGAATTTGAAGCCGTATAAAAACCTAAATAATCCTGAACCAGAATACTTTTGCAGTAGAGCCTTAGCTTAACTGTCCAGCCGAAGTACATCAGGGCAAAAGCTACAAGAGAAGGCAGAAAATCCGGGAATAACTTCATGGCGTGTTCCATATGAGGGAAGCTTACGAAATGAAGACGCAGACCATCACCCATCATAACCCGCGTATCTTGTCGTGCAGGGCTAGTGCAGTAGGTCCAAACGCGGCATTGCTTAACGTTAATCCATTTTAATCGGAAAATCACAGAGTTCTTCGAAAAAGTGAAAATACAGAAGGAAAGGTAGGTGCGGCCGAAATCATGCATAGCTGACGCTTCCTGTTCTCATTTACTCTGACGATGGCTCCTCGTGTGGAGCCGAAAGCTCAGAATAA